AAAAATGTATATTTAGATGATATATTTATTTATGACTTTTCTCAATCAAGCTTGGATTGGTGTCGTACATCTTACTATAATGTAAAGTGATTTACTAGTGAAGGTAATTACTCAGTTTCAAAGGCGGTTTAACTCAAATGTTTTCTGGTTACACAGTGCCCCCTGCTGGTAGCACCAGAAATAACCGATCATTGAAATAAATGACTTCTTACTGTCGTTGTAATGAAATATGAAGGGGATTATGCCATGGAAATATGATTGTTATGGGATATGTTGCAATATAAATTTGAGCTGGGATGGATTAAATCAAGTCTTAACTCTCATCTGGTTCTGTTAGGCGATGATCCTACTCATAAATTGGATGACAGCAATACCAGGATCCTGATTGGCTGCTTGGTGGCTATTATTGCCATCCTATTGACTATCATAGTCATCATCCTCTGGAGGCAGGTCTGGCAAAAGATGCTTGAGAAGGTGAGGAGAGAGTTGTTGTTTTCCAAGCCGTTTGTATCAGATCAAACAAGATTATAGTATATTCAGTAATCAGGAGTGTTTGAGGTCGACGATTGCCGGGTAATGTGATGAACACTCTGGTCAGGGACAATGAGAAGCAGGTGAGGCTTGCACATTCAATGCTGGTTTTATCTAAACAGATAATATGTGCCATGAATTATCACCATACTCCAAATTGAATACGTAGGGAGCAAATATCTGGCATCCCTAACTGTCAACTATCAACACAATGTTTGTCATTCCAACTTAACACAAATAATACAAGCATCAACGTACTGCTAACATAAATGTTAAGAGCAAGGATCACACCTGAACTCGATCCCAAATATATATAGACTCTGATCAAGCCAGGCTCCTCCCACGCCCTGCTCCATCTCAGGCAGCTTATATATTTTTGTCTGCATATATAGCCTGCTTCATGTTCACCTGAGAGTTTGCTTGATGAAGACCTTTTAGGTAGAAACGTTGCATGAATAAAACATTTCTGCACATTTCAGTGTGCAAACAACCTCTCCTCTTCCTCAGTGACAATCACTGCTGGTATCCAAGTATTTCCTCTTTTGATAAATCTGACATCCCAAAAACTGACGGCATGTAATGTGAGGTGAAAATTATCTTGCAGATTATTTGACCGAAACAACAAATGACACACCTCCGCTCTCACCGACTTACTTCCACAGGCATCTCGTCGCCTGCTGGATAATGAACTCACAGCTCGTCTTGCGGTCCAGACCCAGGCCTTCTCCTCCCTCCACTCCTCTCTGTCCAGCGAGAGCGGCTCCACCTCCAACTCCACCTACGAGAGAATCTTCCCCCTTTGCTCCGACTACCAGGAGCCTTCCCGCCTTATCCGGAAACTGCCCGAGTTTGCTCAGTCCACCGAAGACCTTGGTAAGACGGTAAAAGCACAATTCAATAAATACTATTATTTCCGTCGACATTAGCTATAGCTGAATGTGTATTTGTATGTGCACCACATCAGGGCCGAGCACCTCCTGTAGAGCCCTTGCAACCAGTGTTTCAGAAGGTGCCCCCCACTACGCGGAGGCAGACATCATCAGCCTCCAGGAGTCTTCAGACAGCAGCACCTACTCCATCACAGCTGTCAACATGAATCTCTTTGCTGGCACCGATTCATCCATGAGAGAGTTCCCCAGAGACAAGCTCACCTTTAAGGAGAAGCTGGGAGAGGGCCAGTTTGGAGAAGTATATTGTCTTTTGTACCTGTAATGTTTGTTGGCATTGATTTGGTATTTTAAATATATTAGATTCATCGAGCTGCTCTCTCCTTCCTCACTAAAATGATCTTGATGCATCTTCTTTAATGCTCTCGTTTTAAGATTGAAAGATAGTTATTGCTGTGTGTTAAAAGCGTTAGTGCGAAATGCAATGGCTATACAGTGCATGCTGACAAACAGGCAACACTTCATTAAACAGTTGGTTTGTGGTGCTAATTGTATGATGGACTAACAAAGTGCTTTTTAAAAACAGGTGCACTTGTGTGAGGCAGAGGGCATGCAGGACTTTTTGGATGAGGATTTGTCCATAGAGGGAAACAGGGACTCACCTCTGCTGGTTGCTGTGAAAACACTGCGGGAAGACGCCAACAAGAATGCAAGGTAGAAGAACAAGCTGTACAGTACATAAGTCAGCCGCCAATCAAGTGGTAAATTACAATAGTTTGTCCCTGCTGTGCTGAAGGAATGACTTCCTGAAGGAGATCCGAATCATGTCTCGCCTGAGGGACCCCAACATTGTCCGTCTGCTGGCCGTGTGTGTGGACACAGACCCACTGTGTATGATCACTGAGTATATGGAAAATGGAGACCTGAACCAGTTCCTCTGCAATCTCAGACTGAAAGAGGCCGCTGATGACGACAAGATGGACCAGGAGGAGAAAGAGGGGGAGAGTATGGTTAGGTAGGCTCATATCTGGACAATAAAGTGTCATGATTATCTTGGATTCATACACAGAGCCAACTAGACAGCCCTAACTGTTTGGACCCCTTTGTATTTCCTGTTGCTGTGTTTGTTAGTGCAGTAGCTGAAGTAAACTTGGACCAAAAGCAGAATGGCAATGAAAAGGTCTATTCTGTACTTATGACTTGTAATCTCTGTGTTTGTGGTCTCTTCTGCTCTTTAGTTACAGTAAACTAATTGGCATGGCTGTGCAGATCTCATCTGGCATGAAGTACTTGTCCTCTCTGAACTTTGTCCACCGGGATCTGGCGACCCGCAACTGCCTGGTGGGTAAGAACTACACCATAAAGATCGCTGATTTTGGCATGAGCCGGAACCTGTACAGAGGGGACTACTACAGGATCCAGGGCCGGGCCGTCCTGCCCATTCGCTGGATGTCCTGGGAGAGCATCCTACTGGTGAGTGCTGTGCTGAGCCGGAGACACTTGGAATAGTTACACAGTAGACAAAAACAACGCGATGAATTGTTGGTAATTTCTGCAGAAATGTAGACTTACGGAAAGTGGGCATAAAGCTCTCAAAATATCTGTGAGAGAGCTCTCAAGAACATGACGATTTGATAGTGGGACAGGACAGCCCTAAACCCCCAGTCTAAGAGTGTGGACATTGGGATTGGGCCTCTGTGCTTGTCTGATAATAGACTGCTCAAAGATTGTTTTGATTTGCAGTCTGCTAATAATATTGCAGCTGTGATAAACCAGCATACACATGAAGTCTTCACTAGGTTGGATTTGGATTTAAGTTGTCTGTTCTCTCAGGGGAAGTTCACCATGGCCAGTGACGTGTGGGCCTTCGGTGTGACTCTGTGGGAGATTCTGACTCTGTGTAAGAAGCAGCCCTACTCCCAGCTCTCTGACGAGCAGGTCATTGAAAACACAGGCGAGTTCTTCAGGGACCAGGGCAAGCAGGTGAGCGTCACACAGGTTTAGGCTACCAATCCTCCAAAGTATAATCTCATTATGATATCAGTTATGGTTTTATTAGTGACACACATACAAAGTATCCTATATTTTCTCTGCATTTGTGTCTCACAGTACATACCCACAGCCTTTTTAAACTAGAATCTTATTATTTTGTCTCATGTTCCCAGGTGTACCTGCCAAAGCCTCTCTGTTGTCCTGACAGAGTCTACAATGATCTCATGCTGAGCTGCTGGAGGAGGAACGCCAAGCAGAGGCCGAGCTTTCAGGATATACACACTCAGCTGACGGAGAGCCTGGCGTAGTCAAAGGAACAGATGATTTCTCCTCGACATGAACTGTCACATTTGCTCCCTTCAGTCTGGATCTATTTGGAATTTATTTGGAGTCAAATAAATATATATAACTTTTTCTATTTGTTTGTAGCTGGCTTGCCACAATTGTGCTGTAAATAACAAGATATGAGGAGAAGGTATACACTTGAAAAGAGCCTTATATTGTAGATATACAAATTAGCACTATTCACACTTCTGTGTATTTATTCATTTCTTTTTAATCTCCTGTGCTATGTATATTTATAATATATATTTGAGTTCTATGGTAATAGGGTTTGAAACACAATTGTGAATATTTGTATTTCCTTTCCATTCATACATATAATTCTATTGCACATTAATTATAGGATGTCAATACTGTTGTGTGATTTATTTTGTTCATATTTTAGCTTTTTAATGATAATGACTGTTGTCTAGATGAGGCAGGTGTTTTTACTCTGCAGCAGTTTCCCGACATGTTTTATAAACATGTTTATGTCCTTTTGCAGAAATAAATTAACTGTATATTGTTGAATAGCAGCAAAGAACAAACCAAGGATCCCTGTAAATAAAGAAAATGAAGGTTCACTACTGTGTGTTTTCTTCCCAGACTAACGTTATTAGCAGTGGTGGAAAGTAACTAAGTACATTTACTCTGCCTACAATTTTGAGGTACTTGTGCTTTGAGTATTTCCATTGTATGCTACTTTTACCCCAATACATATATTTGATAGCTTAAGTAGTTACTTCACAGCTGTAGATTATTAAGACAAAACAGAAAGTAACTAATAAAGTAAGATATATTATCATAGGTTAAGCTGTATTATATAAGGTACTTCATTAGCTGTGCCTTCACCAACATTAAAAGTATGTATATATTAATGCATCACTAATTATAATCAAATTATACAATATATGCATTTCTGAAACGGGCCATTCTGCATAATGAGTACTTTTACTTTTGGTACTTACAGTATATTTTAACATGAATACTTTTGTACTTAATATTTTGAACTTTTACTTGTAACATAGTATTTTGTAGTGTTACTTCGAGGTTTTAAAATACTTTGTTCACAATACGAGAGACACAGCACCAGGCTACAAGTCATCGTCAATCACAGCCTTGATTAACACCTTAGCAGCACTTTAAGTCGTTGCACCGCTCCTCCTGTTTTGGGCCTCTTCGCTCTCCGTAGTGGGAGCTGATTGGCCAGCTGTTTGTTGACATCCAATCACACCACGTATCGGCCCGTGCACATAGGCTGGTGTTTTCCGGAGGAATCGGACGATGGGAGCCACGGTGAGAGGATATTCATAACAGGTTTTAGACTTCGTTCTGGTCCCGTCTTCACCTGCAGACGCTGCCAGCTCCGGTCAGACATGGAGAAGGTTGTTCTTGTAACCGGCGCGAACAGGTGGGTTACATGAAACTGCGTTATAATGATGACTAGGCACTCGGTTTGTCACGTTTCTTACAAAGTGACTCCTCTCACGAGCTAATAAACACTGAAGGCATTATGTGTTAACTTGACAGAAACGTGCTGTAATAAAGCTTACTAGTTGAATTTTCTTTAATTCATTAAGTTTTTGTATGAGCGTCATAAACACAATAATAAATGCATATTAGAAAAGTCAAAAACATTTAATACAAAATATATTAAAAGTGAAGAAAAAGACTCATTATATATCATAGGCTGTACATACTTGTAAGTATTAAGAACTTACAATGTTGAGAAGACTTCAGTTATACTTTAATGCTCTGGAATATTTTGATCAAAATGATGTGACTTGCGTAGATATAGAGTTCTCTCTTATTATCCAGGTACATTAAAAACAAAGTTCCTTATCTGCCTTTATAATTCCTTCTCCAGGTGTTACTCTAATCCCTCTATGTTTACCAGTTGGTATTATATAGTACATTTAAGTAATTACACAGCTCCTTAGAGAAGTTTGTTTTCACGCTTGTGTTTTCTGTCATCCGTCACTTTGCCCAGCGGCATCGGTCTGGCCCTGTGCGAAAGGCTGCTGACCACGGACAGCCGTCTCCGGCTGTGTCTGGCCTGCAGAAACATGCAGCGGGCCGAGGCCGCCCGCTCCGCTCTCCTGACCTCTCACTCCAACGCGCATGTAGACTTGCTGCACCTGGACGTGGGCTCTGTGCAGTCAGTGCTCACTGCTGCTCAGGAGGTCAAGGCCAGGTACCGATACCAAGATATAGTGATGTCATGAGGCTGCGGTCTCACCTGTAATACCTGAACTATGACTGAGATTGCTCTTTGATGCACATTTGTATTTTTCCACAGATACAACAGAATTGACTTTCTGTATCTAAATGCAGGAATTATGCCCAATCCACAAATTGATGTCAAAGCTTTTTTCAAGGGTCTGTTCTCCAGGTAAAGCCCCCAAACCAGTTCCTGACTTGCTTCATCTGATTTATGCCTTTTGATTTCACACAGGTTTAAAGCTCGATAGCTGTATACTAGTGCAAGCTGTCTATTGCCCATGCTGTTGTGTAATAACGTACCCCCTCACTCACTGCAGGAATGCCATCGACATGTTTGCGACAGCAGAGGGTCTCTTGACTCAACAGGACCGGCTCAACTCAGACGGTCTGCAGGAGGTTTTTGCCACCAACCTCTTCGGTCATTTTCTCCTGGTACAGCACACACCGACTGCACACACACTGGACAAATTCCTCATTAATATGGCATAATATATACGTAGTCCTCATCATTATATGTTGTAAAATAGTGTAGTAGTATATGCAAACAGGATGGATTTAGTTTGTGCCTCTGCATATAGAAAGAAGCATTAAAAATATAATTGCTAGGATGGATGATGTGGATAAAATCTATCACTGTATGAACTCTTTTGACAGAAAGAAATATTGTGGTGTGGTATATGTTATAGATGATGTATATGATATAGATGATGTTTGTTTTTGTCGTTGAATTGATGACGTGGCGAATGGAAAGTACCTGATGTCCTTGTCTCTGTGGTCTAGATCAGGGAGCTGGAGCCTCTGCTGTGTGAGGCAGCTCACACGTCCCAGATAGTGTGGACCTCCTCGAGTAACGCCCGCCGCTCTGCCTTCAGCATCGAGGACGTGCAGCACGGAAATGGGACGGAGCCCTACAGCTCCTCCAAGTACGCATCAGACATGCTCAGCCTGGCACTCAACAGACACAAGAACAGCCAGGTTTGTCAGTCACACAGTCTGCAGATTACGGCCACAGGAGCGACTACTTGTTGACATCCACCCACATCCCAGAGTCAAAATCTCACATTAGGAGGAACTGAAACATGCATCTGTTATGTGGAATACATGTTTCCTCTCTCTGTGACAGGGGCTGTTCTCCTCCGTAATATGTCCCGGACTGGTGATGACTAATCTGACCTACGGTATTCTCCCCTCCTCCTTCTGGACCCTCATCATGCCCATCATGTGGCTGGTGAGTGAGGTTTTTACTCTGCTCATCTCCGCTTGAGTCGAGTTGCGTATGAACAGTCTCATGTTATTGTGACATATTTCTTCCTGTGCTGAACAGATTAGGATCTTCACCAACACATTCACGCTAACGCCATACAACGGAGCAGAGGCGCTGGTATGTTGTCGACCCTTCCTGTTAACTTCTCCTCAATGAATGCACCATGAACACTAAAAGTCCTGCTCTGACTTTTCACAGCACTGGTTATTTGTACAAAACCCAGAGTCTCTGGATCCGAGAGCAAAGTATCACAGTTTAACGTCGGGACTTGGAGCGAACTACACTCAGCCTCGACAGGTGAGTAACCAGAGGCCGCTGCTCCACAGACATTATGTACTGCTCAAGTCTGCTCTACGTGAACCTCAGATAACCTGAATCCTAGAATCAAATAATTATGAGAGTGACTGGGATCAGTTGAGATGCTTTTTATGGAATACCGAGCAGGAAACCTTGAAAATGTGATCAATGTGATCTGCTTTACATGCAACGAATTCTGATTTTCTGCGTGGTTTTGTTCTCGTTTCAGATGGACATCGATGAAGAAATGTCTGAGGTCCTCTATTCAAAACTTCTTGATCTTGAGAAAGTAGTCAGAAAGAAAGCGTGAAAAAAATGCTGACAAGGACGCTCATGGACTTTAGTGAGATAGAGTAAATGTGAGTCTTATATAAAGGGACGTTTTTGCTTTTGGGAAATGGACCATGTGCACTTTCTGATGAAGAACAATGAACATGATGTTGTTCTTTTCATTCTTGCTAGTTGTACTATTGAATTGCATTTCTTTTCTGTCTATTGTGTACACGTGAATCCTAAAACACGTAAAAGAGGCAGCCTTTATTTTACTCATGCTTACGAGACCGCTGTGTAGTTAATTTACAGCCAAACGTTTGCTTTTAACTTCAGGTGTTTGCATTCACGCTTCAAAAATCATAAAAGTGGTGTTCATTTGTGAAGATTATCTTGCTGAACAAAACATGAAAGTATCCTAAACTTGTGTTTTGTGTGCCTTTTTTGTGCAATAATCTTAAATCCATTGTAAAAGCCTCATTGGCTTTTTGTCGAGGGAACCAGTGCGATGCTAACTTCCCGGAGGCGGCCTACAAAAATAAATCATCCCTGCACAACTCTACCAGCCTTTTTCATATTTTAATATATGTTGTATCTTCTTAAAGGTTGGTCATTCACAAATCTAGCATGTCCTAACCTTCCACTCTCGTGAGATCAATAACCAGCAGGAGTCTAACCTGTTTCTCTTCTCTGGTTGTAATGTAGAAACCACCGCCTGCTGCACCGTCACCTGATATCTGTATCCTGTTTCTTCTACAACAGGCGTGCAGCTTTAATTTGCGGGTTTGTGTATAGTCTGCTTTACTGAGTCCACCCACCGACGATCAGCACCACCGTCAGCTGTCATCAGTGGCTTCCTTTTCCACAAATCATAAATTATGATGCACAGTTAGGTGAAAAGAATGTAATAGAGCAAACAAAGTGTCAGAATAACGCGGATGTTTGAAATGGCATAGTGTGATACCACTCGGCCTTTCAGATCCTCTTATGCACGGGCTTTGTTTGACTAATATCCTCTCACTGACATGTTTAATTGAACTGCTTCGGCAAAAGGCTTTGCTGGATAAACTGCTTACTGCATGAGTTCCTTTAGCGTTGGCTGTTCCTGACAGACATGCACAGCTGCCACACTCATTTGCAAGATATTTGCCTTTTTGCCTCTTCTGTTTGAGATTGACTCCTGCATTTTATTAATCAAAAAAAAAAGATGGAAATAACTATATCTATTATTGCTTTATTATAGAGATAAAGAAAATGGGAAAGTAAAGAAAATGTACTTTTTTTTTAAAGCTATTTTAGATAATTCCAGCTAAATACCCGAAGCTTTATGAAGGAAATATTCCACATTTGGCATTTATTATTAAATTGTTTCATTGCAACAATGGAGGCTTTTCTCCAATTTAAAATACATTTATTTAATGTGCAAATCCTCACACACATTACCACTGGATCAGATTGTGAGCTTACAATCACGTCTCCGTGTCTTCGATGGTCAGGTGAAAATGAGCAATGGTCCTAAACATCCACGCGTGCCCTGGACCCTAAATGGGTTTTCTTCTTCCATTTAAAATCAACTACATCCTCGACTTAAAAAAAAACATGCCTCAAGGTACATAAAAAGGTTCCTGGATTCATGTCCTACAAGTGTGAAAGCTTTTTAAGTGCGCTGAGAGCTGCACGTACAGAGGGCAGACTTGTCAGACATGTTACCACCAGCTGTTACTCAACATGTCCCTGCTGGCCCTCACCACAGCATTTGATGCTTTTTATAAATTGACAAATCCCACTTAATCTTATATGTTTGACCGTAGTATCAGCACAGAGCCATAGCTGCACATACAAGGTGCCACTTGCTTTTGACCTCACTAAGGCAGTGCGAAATAATAGAGCTATGGTATGCTTTGAGGAAATATATCAATATGCATTTCTTTAGGCAAACCATGGGATATGTAATAACGCATGCACATTGTTATTGTTTTGTTCTGTCGTCATGTACTCCCACACAGCATGACCTGGTTTACTGCAGCCACATATTACCAGCCTAATGAGAGTCTATTGAACGCTTCCCTTGCATGTCATTTCCTCTTAAGAAATTAAAACCCGGATTATTCTCCGAGGACATGAGAGCAAATAGTTGCATAATGTAAATAAAAACATTGCACACCACCGTGCGTGGAGATTGGTGCGCGCTATACGCGATGTCCCGGATGGTGCTCGCACCGGAAGAGAAGGGGCAGCTCTCCCAGCCATCTTGTGGCAGCATCCAGCGATTTGTTCGCATCAAGCCTCGTAGAATCGGAGGTGAATCCCGCTGAAGGGGCGCCATCATGCCCGGACACCTGCAAGAAGGCTTCGGCTGCGTCGTGACCAACCGGTTCGACCAGTTACTGGACGACGAGTCCGACCCGTTTGAGATCCTGAAAGCGGCTGAAAACAAGAAGAAGGAGGGGGCCGCCGCTGGTTCCGCCAAGTCCGCGGCTCAAGCCGCCAAGCAGCCGAAGAAGGAGTCACAGAAGGACAGAAAGAACCCGCTGCTGGACAAGAAGGACGAGTCCCAGGCTCCGGTCCCACTTAAGAAAGAAGGTTGATAAACACAATTCCCCTGCTCTCTTGCTGCAGTGCATGTTTATTTTCATCTTTATTTCGCATCAACTGTCATATGCATCCCCCCCCCCCCCCCCCGTTTGCTGCGTTAGCTGATGCTGGTCTGAGCGTAACACAGCGGGAGGTCAAACCTGACAAGACCGAGGTTAGCGAGACAACATGAGGCTGTCCGCACCGAGGAGCTGCACGGAGAGGCTTCAGGTGTAAGCCCACCTGCAGAGCTCAGTGCAGAAGCCTGCGTCGCAGCCATGGTTCCCCACCAGCATCCTGCAGGAAGGTGCAGTGTAGGGTTACCGTTTGCTGGATGATGCTCCGCGCTCTGGCTACGCAGCGGCTGGTTAGCGGCTGCAGGCTTTGCAACAGCGAATGCGCAAAAATATTCACCTGCGCACTGACGGACGGCTCTTTGTTTGAGTTGGAGACGTCTACCTTCAGTGAATACTTCATTTTTTATTTTATTTTTAAAGCTTAGTCGTCTAAAATTGAGCCCTAAAAACCACAGCACCGAGGTAATGGAGAGAGAGGCCCTGCTGGCCAGTATTGTTAATAGTATGCACAGTGTAAGTAAGTGCAGCGTGCTGTTGTTGGTGGGCGTATCACTTGGTAGAGGAGTAGTTTACAGGAGAAGGAGGTGGGTGTACTCTCCTACATATTTATGTGGCTTTTTGGCTGATAGGTGGGTACACTGTAAACTACCAGAAAAAGAGGTGGGTATACCCCATTTACCTGCATGTATGCTCCACTCTACTGATCCTGCTCATACATGGTTTTAAAGGGTGTTTACTACAAAGCAGCCTCAAAAAGGACTACATCAAGGAGTTATTCCGCTAATGCAAATGACTTCCTTTGACGCCATTTCTATGGTCTTGTGATTGTCAGGTATCAGGCGAGTGGGCCGGAGACCAGACCAGCAGGGCCAGCCTGGTTCCCAGCATCAGGGTGGGCAGGGTGAAGGGCGACCTGGAGACAAGCGGCCGGACCGGAGACCTCCTCGCGAGCGCCGTTTCGAGAAGCCGCCTGAGGACAAGCCCGAGGGAGGTGGAGAGTTCTCTGCAGACAAGTGGGTATTTTGGAAGAGCCACGGAAGAATGACGGAAGAGCATATTTCAAACATGCTGATAAGCTCAAGGCTGTCTGGTGTGATCACAGGACCGTTTGTGGGGGGTGGATGCAAGAGTTTGATGTAATCTTAGCTAACTTAACCTCAACATCACCGCACAGCCATCTGTAGATTGTTTCCGCTGACATTATCATTGTCACATGATTGTCATAAGTGCTGACCACTCCTCTGATGGAGGTCCTATTTACACTTTTTTATTTTTGGGGTTGAATTTAGAGTCTGTTTTTGTCCACCAGGCCTTCTGGAGACCGGCCCCCGAGAGGGCGTGGTGGCGGCCGAGGTGGGCGTGGTGGTGGAAGAGGACGAGGCATGGGCCGAGGTGAAGGCTTCGACTCCCGTGGGAAACGAGACTTCGACAGACACAGCGGCAATGACAAATCGTGAGTCAGTCCTCAACTGAGACCATAGAAGACCAGTGAATATATAAATAGAAAGGACCACATACCAAAGCACCCTGTTCTTGAATCTTTATTTATTATCAAGAGGCCCCTTCTGGAGCTAGTTAATTGCCAAAGGTTTCCAGGACCAAGTGGCACTTTTAACATCTGTGTTGATTTAAAACTTCGGTCTAACCGAGCTAAAATGTCTATAGGCAGTTACTACAAAGTTGTACTTAACATTGAATAACAGTCGGACCCAAATGGCATCTCAAAGTGTTTCATAATGACGTCTCAGACTTGAGGTCAAAGGTTTTCGAATCACTGTTCGTTGTGGGCAGTGAGTATTTATTTTTTTTTTTGTATATCATTGTGTGCGTTTTCCTCTGTCTTTGCTCCAGCAATCAGAAAAGCGAGGAAAAGCGCAGCGGCAGCGGCTCACACAGCTGGGGCAACGTGAAGGAGGAAGTGAGGTGAGTTTTCCAGAACAGACACACATGGCCCGTTTATCCGAGCGTCACTGTCTGCAGGATAACGATGCGCCGCTGAAATCTGTACCGACTTTGTTGACCGCGTGTGGCCGATAGAAAGTGGCTCTATTTTTGTGTTTTAAAAAAAAAAATTCAAGTGCTCCAGTTTTAATGGAACATTTTACAGAATAGTGTTTGGTACGTATCGTGTTTTGGGGGTTATGGTCCACGCACCAAGAAAAAAATCCTGCTAATTCAGTCAGTTTAGCTTTTTGTTATTCTAGCAAATGTGTAATAACATTAGATGGAAGAGATGCAGCACACACACTATTGAGCGTATATGTGCATTTGTGAGCTAGCTTGGAGAAGGTACAACTTAAGAGGTAATGTTTCAGCTGGAGGTAATATATTCGTATTGACATGGTGGCTGTGTGTGTCTTTTGTTCCTAGTGAGGCTGAACAGACTGCTGCTCCAGAAACGACCCCAGAGGGAGAGGAAAACGCACCTGCCGGCTCCGAGAACAAGTGAGTGTCCATTTCCTGTCAGATGTTCAGGTTGCAAGTAATCAAGGAGGCCGATAACTGATACTTGCAACAAATATACAATTGCAGTAAAAATTGAAATCTTTGATCACAACGTTTGCCGTACAATTCTGTGGTTTATCATTTAAGTGCAACTACACTGCAAACTGGATTCGCTACTGACAAACAGAGTGACGGCTGACTCGTATGAACAGGACACTTACTGAATCGAACATCTAATAACTACTATTTTTCTTTTATGATTTTTTATGATACCTAGTTTGTAACTGGAGTTATCATCACAGGCGTTTTCCTTTGGATTCTGCACGTTGTGCTGTGTCACAAACGATTTCTCTGCATGTGCACATTTTCGTCACAAAGCTTTAGCGCAAACAGGATGAACATTGTCTCCGACCTTTTGGCTTCGGGATTAAAGAGCATGTATAGAGCTAAGAGCATTGGCAGTTTGAGGTTTAAGGTCCTACATTGTTGCCGCTGGCTTTCCAGGGAGAACGAGGCGGAAGAAGTTAAAAACGAAGGCCCCAAAGAGATGACCCTGGACGAGTGGAAGGCCATGCAGGACAAGGAGCGCACCAAGGTGGAGTTCAACATCCGGAAGCCCAACGAGGGAGCCGACAGCCAGTGGAAGAAAGGATACGTGCTGCACAAGTCCAAGAGTGAAGATGTAAGTATGGTGATTTATTATAACATGGAGAACAGAAACCTTTTCTCCCCTCTAACAGAAACTTGACTGACTAGTCTGAACACTGTACATCATACATGTAACATTATCACAAAGCTGACAGCCTTGCTCTGCTGATTGATGAGTTTCAAAAGAACATTGTGACACCTAGTACGGTGACTTCTGTGCAGCGTGCACAGACTTGGATTCAGATGCACATCGTTGTTTGTCTCGCCAGCTCATCGGACTCTGTTGTCTTTGACTTTCAGAGGCCTGTTGGAGCTTTGATCGACGTCGCAGAGACGGAAGCAGAGCCAGCCCCGGTGTTCAGCAAGGTGCCTGCAGCGCTCACACTACAGTCCATGAAAACTATCGGTGTTAAGTCTTAATAAAACCCACCTGTTAGAAAACGGCCAGTGGTTTAATACACCTTCAAATGTTGAAATTAGTTTATTCATTTCTATTTTGGGTGGCTCCAGAGGAATTGAAGAATCTAAAGCGTGTTGGTGCTAAGCAACACATGTTCACTCATTTAAAAACAAAGCTCAGTACAGAGCGAAGTTAATGTCTAACATACTTTCCTCGTCTGTTTTTAGCCGCTGGGCGCCCCCGACGAGTCCAGTGACCACCACTTCCGCAAACCAGCCAACGACATCACATCTCAGCTGGAGATCAACTTTGGAGACCTGGGCCGCCCCGGACGCGGGCGCGGGGGAGCCCGCGGAGGCAGGGGAGGCCGCGGCGGCGGAGGTGGTGGCGGTGGTGGTGGTGGTGGTGGTGGTGGTGCCGGGGGAGGCACCAGACCGGCACGTGGGGGAGGACGGTCTGAAAAGGTAACAATAAAATCTGTTGCTTTCAACAACAACGGTTTAGAGTCTCTCACAAAGGGTTCAGCTCACTGACTGTGAACAGGCTGGAAAACCACTGACTTGGAAAACCTGCTGTGGAACCACTAAGGCCCTGAAATAACAGAGCAGTGACCACATGCTCCATGATGCAAAGCTCACGACCGACCTGATGTCACTGGGCAGGGGCTTAGTTGTGTTAATGACAGTTTAGTTTAAAGTATTTAACTGTCAGTTGCCGAAAGCTGGCATCAAATACGTTCTCTTTAAATTATTATTCATCTGACAGTTATTTTCTCATTTAGTCAGTTGAGTGGGTGGTCTATAACATTTTGGAAGGTAGTGAATAATGCCCCGCACAATTTTCTAAAGATCAAGTTGATTTATTCCAAATTCTTGTTTTGTTTGACCAACAGTCCGAAATCCAAAGATATTCAGTTTACAATCAGAAAACAAACGGAGATTCACATTTGGGAAGCTGAAACCATTGGTGCAGACTACTTGTCTGTAATTCAATTAATCCACTTATTGTTTGAGCTCTACTTAAATTATATATTTACTGAGTCAAATATTTGTACTAATTTCAGACTGTTTATTATATATTTAAAAGTAAGCAGTGTTTCCCACAGGATTGAGAGATTATAAGGGAACACCATTTGTAACTTTTCTAAAGTTAAATGCATCAATTTGTTGAAATCAAGTGTTAAGTTAAAAATAAATATGAACTTTTTACAGCTCTGATATGTTCTACAGATGCCAAAATACTTTCAAAAGATTGTTTTTGTCTGTTTTTCTGAAACACTTCATTTGGCTGACGGGAACTATCAATTCACTGATTTATCTGTGGGTCTGTCACTATGACCGACACCTCTCACATACAAGTAGTATTGCGATCCATTAATATAGAAGTATTGATTATAGCGCTCTCACCTTGTCCTGGTTTGTGTGTGTGTGTGTGTGTGTGTGTGTGTGTGTGTGTGTGTGTGTGTGTGTGTGTGTGTGTGTGTGTTGCTCCAGGCTAGTGGAGTGTCCGTCCCCAACGTGGACGATCCGGAGGCCTTTCCAGCTCTGGCCTAAAAGGCTCCTTTTCCACCACCAGCCCACCGATCAGCCCTTCCGGGCCCCTCCTCTACGAGGCTTGCATGCTTACATCTTCAAGTATATAAGAAAAGAGAAAAAAAAAAGATTTTAAATGACAAAAAAAAAAAGACTCATTCCATACCACTCACACCACCAGAGGACTAAAAATGTTACCTGTTTTAAAAGGAGAACAAAAGGCGAGAAAAGGACCTCTTGTTACACTGAAGTTTTGTATTTAGGAACATGAAAGCAGGGATGTTTTCATACTTTTTTTTTCAGAGATTATGCATACTTCATTGATTATTTTTGTGCTGCTTGAATTAATGCATTTCTGCAATTAGGTTGAAGTGTGTGTGTATCTCTTCCCCTGAAGCTTTTGTGCTTTTTTTTTTTTTCCCCTCATGACTTCAGCTCAGTATTATGCGGTCATCTTAGAAAATACTTCCTACTGGAGTTTTTCCTCCCAGTAACACACACTGATGTGGTAGCACTATACTACATAGGATACGTGTACTAGATATCTGAAGTATGGCTAAACATGCGTTTAAAGTGTAATTACTCTGATCCTGACTACCCATCCCTTTGCGAGCCACAAATTCAGGATGGGTAACCAGGCAAAGTAACTTCCGACAAAAGCTTGGTATTTTTCTGCTTGTTGTGCAGTGAAAGTAACTGCCTCGTTTCCATTTTTATTTTTTTGATAGCTTGCCTTTTATTTGGTGGACCAGTGGTTAGTGATGCTTTGTATCCCCTGATCCAGATGTGCTACCTGTGTTTTCAGGGTGTCCCAAGGCCCAATGTGTATATCTTTAGGCTGGTCCTCGTAGGGCATACAGACTATGCTACTTTTACTTCAGGACCACTAAGCAAATATTGTATTTTTTTGTTAAGGAAGTGTAAGTGTGTGTGTGTGTGTGTGTGTGCGAATGTTTGTGTGTGCGAATGTTTGTGTGTGTGTGTGTGTGTGTGTGTGTGTGTGTGTGTGTGTGTGTGTGTGTGTGTGTGTGTGTGTGTGTGTGTGTGTGTGTGTGTGTGTGCGTGTGTGTGTGTGTGTGTGTGTGTGTGTGTGTGTGTGTGTGTGTGTGTGTGTGTGTGTGAGTGTGTGTGTGTGTGTGTGTGTGTGTGTGTGTGTGTGTGTGTGTGTGTGTGTGTGTGTGTGTGTGTGTGTGTGTGTGTGTGTGTGTGTGTGTGTGCAGCTAAGTGTGAGACAGACTGTGAATTTGACAGCTAGTTACTTAGAATTTAAGTATTCCTCTGCTCTGAACTTGCCACTCTCAAAATAGAAGACAAGTTATCACCTGAAGTAGTTCATAGCGTCTATTGAGACGTGATTGTTGAAATCTAAGTGAGAATGATACACAAGACTGGACATATCTTGCTCTTAAGAGTATCTCTAATGCTTTTCTCGGAGCACTAGGTTTTATCGGCACCCTTCTGTAAACCGTACTTGCTGTTTTTTTTATTTTAAATTTCATCAGTGCAGCAGCACCAGTGCATACTTTGTCTGAAATAAAAGTTGACCGTCATTGTCAACAATCACGAGCTACAGAATGTAATGTAAGCTTACGGTGCTTTTAGCCACCTGTGTCAGCATTTCCAGTGAGCATTTTCTTTTAATGAAGCGGGTATGTTTTACATTAGGTTTAGAGGGGGGGATGCGGGGAGGGAGGGAGGGGGTTATGAACATGATGGGGTAATTTTAAAGCTTTACATGCTGTTCTGCAAATACTTGCTGGCGATGCACTGATACAGACGGCTGGAGCACTTTTTCTCGTAGGACTGTTTGAGCCACATGACGGTGAAACGTTCTCTGCAAACATCCCTGTTCTAATAACTTGCTTTAGAGGTGTTACATGTATTCCGCCAATTGCTATTTGGGTTGTTTAAAATCAATACTGTGATTTTAAAAAGTTGTAAACAAATGTGCTGTGGATTCTTCATTGCTTAAAGGAAGCTGTGGTGTTTCATGTCGATGCTTTCCCATTTAAATCCCATATGAACATGAGGGTGATGTAAACAAACCAGAGGGGTTTGTTTACACCTAGTTGCTAGTTTGTTAGGTACCGTACAACTCGCACATTAATGCAGTTCAATACAATAATAATGCGCGACATGAATAATTGAGTAAAAATCTTTCTATTTAAAATAGATTACGGGTATTTCTAAACGTCAGCTGTAGTTTTTCTACACTCCCGAATGTTCAAAGGATGTTGTTGAATCGAGATGTTTCACTTCTTTCCGTTTCCGTCATCGCCGACAACATCTCGCGTCACTCCGGTTAGATCGTTTTACGCATGTGCAGAAGGACTTCGTCGATAATCACGTAAACAGTATGGCAGAGCTCCACCAACGTCGACACGAGCTCGGCGACAGAAAGTTGCCACTCGAGGAAGCATCCCGAACAAGCACAAGAGCCACACCCGGTGACGGCTCCACGGTGCACCTGAAGCTGTGTGCAGCGGGCTTTTACGGAGTCAGTTCATTCCTCATCGTTGTCGTCAACAAAAGCGTCCTCACGAGCTACAGGTAAGAGGTGCAAAGTACGAGCAACCGTTGCAGGAAGGTTCGGTTCGGACACTTGACCACCTGCATGTGTGAGCAATGACAGCAAGGGACAGATGTTTAAACGATGGAGATGTTAAGTATGGAGTCTAACTCTGGGCAGGGTTGGATTCTGTCCATCTTTAGAGGATGCGCGTCTTCTTTTAATGCTGACAGTTTGGTCACTACTTAATACTTGGACCACATGTCCCTCCAACACACCCCGCCCACCTGGAAGTTTCGACCAGCCACTAACTAAAAACAAACATTTCCTGTATTCAGAAATAAAATGTTTCCTCTTACAAATTTAAAGTTGAATTCATATGCAATAAAACCTTTTAAAATACTCAGGGATTTACACAATCTGTTATCAGTATAGTTGCTACTTCTGTATGACTGATACTGTTAAACTAAGTTACATTATTACAATGAGTAAGCAGCTTTGTAATGTTGGTGGAGCTAATTATAGTTAATTATTTAACACTGGATAATTGTATTTACTATATAACAATGCGTTTATTTATATATGCTAATTTGGGTTTTTTAAAGTGTAATCTTTAGTAGGTTTTGGGTGGGAAATAGTAAACGAGACGTATCTTAATGGCCTAAAAAAACTCAAAATTCGCATCCCATGAGGTCCACGATGTAGCTGAACCAGGCTCCATTCATCCCTCATGCTCCAGGGATCAGCACACCTCCAGCAGGGCCTTGATGTCTAAGAAAGTTTAACACATCCAGCCGGTTCTTGGATCACTTTAATATACATCAAATATACAGTCCAGAAACTGAGTTAAACTTGAAATGATCTCCTTTAGCCACTCTCACTCCTCTCTGTTCTCCTCCATGCTGCTTTTGTTAGTTGATCACAGGTGTGTCTCATTTATCTCCTCACCTATCTAATTGCAGCTATGGAAGTACTCAAGTAAAGCCTAAAAATCAGTCGTATTAGAGTTTTTGAGTCATTTTCCTCATTCTTACCATCGTCTACATGTTTTACAGATTTCCATCGTCAACATGTGTTGGAATCGGCCAGGTAAGTTTGTCTTAAGTTGAGTCACACAGTCACTTTCTGTTCACACAAACGGAGCCTGAAACCCTGTCTGCTTGCTCCAATAACTGCAGATGTTGGCTACAGTTGTAGTTCTGAGGACTGGGAAGATGTTTGGTGTTATCTCGTTTCCAGATATGGATCTGAGTATACCACGCAAGGTGAGACCGTGAAGTAGTTCTCTCGCATGATAATAAGACAAACCTCATATTAAAGATAAAAAAAAATACTGCTTGTATTATTTCACGTTTTTGTGTCTTTCCAGATGTTTCCACTGCCTCTTCTGTATGTCGGGAATCAAATATCAGGGCTGTTTGGGACACAGCGACTCAAGTCAGAGCTTCTATTCATTGCCGTATTATTATATGATATGAAACATAATTTCCTTCATACAAAACTAAATGGACCACGTTTCCTTTTTTCACAGTTTGCCCATGTTTACAGTTTTGAGGAGGTTCAGCATTTTCCTCACCATGGTGTTCGAGGGACTCTTGCTGAAGTAAGTTTAAGTCGACACAGTTTAACAGGAATGTTCTTGCGCCTGCAGACGACTGATTTTAATCCCTGCGACCCGTTTCCTCTTCCTCACAGGAAGAGTTCCTCTGCGTCGGTTAAGATCACAGTGTTCACGATGATCTTTGGTGCTTTTATTGCTGCCAGGTGAGGTGTTCACACACATACACAAGGACACCCTTATACCGACCTCATCCGGTTCACGTCTTCCTGTGTCTCAGTCGTTGACACGTCTTGTTGTTTTGTAGCGCGGACATAGCTTTCGACCTTGAAGGATACGTCTTCATAATGATCAACAACGTCCTGACAGCGGCCAGCGGGGCGTACGTGAAGCAGAAACTCGACTCCAAGGTGAACGGAGCTGCTACTCGTCCTGCCTCGCTGTGTGTGTGTGTGTGTGTGTGTGTGTGTGTGTGTGTGTGTGTGTGTGTGTGTGTGTGTGTGTGTGTGTGTGTGTGTGTGTGTGTGTGTGTGAGAGAGATACTTCTTTGCCGCATCGCGTCTTAAAGGATTGTTCTGTGTACTGCTGTTCCAACAGGAGCTGGGCAAATATGGGCTTCTCTACTACAACGCTTTGCTCATGATCTTCCCCACTGCGGCTTACGCTTACTACTCAGGGGACTTGCAAGTGGTGAGGAATGCTTTTTTTTTTTTTTACACAAATGTCTTCATGTTTATTAACAATTTAGAGTCCAACAACTTGAGAATGTCCTCTGTCTGTGTGTGTTTGAGCACAGGGGTTGGAGTATGATGGATGGTCTGATCAGCTGTTTGTTGTGCAGTTTGTGCTCTCCTGTGTCATGGGGTAAACTCCAGATCCGTCTTTTGTTACTCCTCGATAATGTCCCACAGTGCTGCTCCGATCTAATTCCTCTTCAATGTGTTGTGCAGCTTTGTTTTAATGTACTCCATCATGCTGTGCACGCAGTACAACTCGGCGCTCACCACCTCCATTGTTGGCTGCATTAAGGTGCGTCATAACACGCCGGTCCTGCCCTCTGTGGGCTGATAGCATTGATGAACGCAGATGTGTGCAGTGACTCCGTCCTCTCCTGCAGAATATCCTCGTGACCTACATTGGAATGGTGTTTGGAGGAGACTACATATTCACCTGGACTAACTTCATCGGTCTAAACATCAGGTAAGACACACAGTTTAGACTGTGCTGTTGTGGAGCTGGTGTTTTATTCAGTTTATTTATTATTTGTTGTCCCCTCTGTGTCCCACAGCATTGCTGGCAGCCTGGTGTACTCCTACATCACCTTCACACAGGAGCACGCAAGTAAGAGCTCTTCAAATAATGTGCATCAAAGCCTCCCTAGAATTACAAAAAGCTGCAATGTAAACGTGCTGCTGGTGTTTAGTAATTGTATGACATTTAACAGAAACGGCGTAAACCACGGAGGCCCGACCTACATCGAAGACCTGCGAATGTCCACATCTCACACGTCTGTTTTTAAGCTGTCAAAATGTTTTACAAACATTTATGTATTCTGTCAGCACGTTTTTGCTGCCATCAAGTAATTTAAAATGATCCAATTTTATGTCTTTAATTAAGACAAAGTGCCGTCATGTTTCACTGATTTAATACTAAGTCATGAGCATTTTTATATTTGACAAATCAATAGATTTAAAGGATTGATTGCAATTTTTGTAATTCTATTTTAATACAATAAATTATTGATGACTCCAATCATTCCGATTTCTTCACACTGGCTTTTAATATATATTTTCCGTTCCTACAGCTCAGCTGAAAGCTCTTCCTAACTTAAAGCCTTTGTTGCTCAGACAAAACAATGTTGAAAAAACTTTGTTTTGCACCTAATGATTTTGTCCTTTTTCTTAACAGTGTAATTATTTTAGGAAGGGTTTCTGATCAAGGCCAGTATGTTTAACATATACATGTACATATACACATGTTGCATTTGAGTATTGTAATAATAAAATAAAAAAAAGAATCAGTTTTTCTTGTATTCAAGCATGTACACTTTGAAAACTCACAATACAACAACTCAAGACTCATTAATACATTTATTAAATATAGCCAATGTTATTCCATTCATAGTCTTGGAATACACTTTTATTTATGTCATTTACAGAGAGAAAAAAACAAGACATTATCAACGAAGGGAAAGAAAAGACTACGTGGATCAACAATATTGAGACGAACTAATCTTAATCTGTGAATGTAAAGTCAAAGCTGGAGTACAAAGTAAAACACGGAAGCATCAAGCCGAACAGCTACTGAACCAAAACAAATGAAGGTCTCGCAGGTCACATGTCGACCTGGTCCGTTTCACTGCTGGAGATCCACTCGCTGAGGAAAGACGGGAACATTGGTTGAAACGAAGCACTTTGAGTTTAAACCAAAGGCGAGCAGCACACTCAACCACAACGTGGTACCTTTTCTTTGCACAAAAGACAATGCTCTCTGCAACAAACATTTGCGATTGTGCGAGTTCACACAGGAATGGGAAGTGCTGAGAGGGAAAGAGGAATGGCTACTTTATTTATTACATCCATCTCAGAGCAACACAGGCGAAAGATCTCTAAACAAAAAGCACAGCAGCCTACAAGGAAGACCTGAACATCCGCAGATGAACAGACATATATATATATATAAAAAAAAAAAAATGTACCAACTGCTCAAGGTAAGAAATCTATACAAACTTTACAATAAAAATCACGGACATTCTGTCTAGTAAAAACAAAGCGTTGAGCAAAGCACCGACTATGAAAATCCAAAAATACAGCGATCTCCTACATGAGTTATAATACAAGACATCACTGATGTCAGCTGCTTCACACAAACAAACCCGCGGGGGGGCTCGCCCGTCGGTTCATTTATCAGAATCAAACAGCCGTGACGGAGGCTGGAGCGGCTTTTATGAAGAGGAGTGAAAACGTTAATTCTGCTGGGTTTTATCGGCACCGCTCCTCATCAGTACAGATGAGAACCAAACAATCAAAGTGCAACTTAAAGAGCCGGCGACAGCACCGGCCTCACTCACCTTGTGTTCGCCCACTTTTGACAATTTAGGCACGTGATCGTTTTAAAACGCGCGTCCCCCCCGCTTCATCAAATGTAGGTTCTGAAATCGCTTGAAACAGCAGTTGTCAGTTTTGTTTTTGTTAAAAAATATAAATATCTCTTGTGTAAAAAAAATAATCACAGGTGATTTATTTTCTATGAGTACAAATAGAAAAAAGGAAATTCTTGGCAAAAAATGTTTTATCAGTCAAGTCTCCAAAAAGTGAATCCAGACGATGTTGAGTAGGAGATGATGGAGCTGTGGGACTTTGGGAGGAACTCTGCAGGCCGTCTGTTCATGGATGGGTTGGAGGGACAGGGGGACAGGGAGACCACCCCCCCTCCCCACCCTCCCAGACGACCAGCTACAGTTTGGTTGGCTGTGTTGTGTGAGTCTTTGCTCTCAGGAGATCCTGCGCTCACGGGCCAAGAGGGGCTCATCTTCCTTCATCTCCTTCACCTCTAGGTGGGAAGGAGGGGACAGTTCGCCCAGAATTCAGCGTCTATTAGTCCACGTCACTGATCTGCTTCAGTCCTCCTGTGTTCTGGATGGTTCCACCTCACTTTGGTCCAACGGCTCGGCCTCAGTCCTGCACCTCTTGGCCGGCCGTTCATGTGCTGCTGCTGCTGCCTCCGTGTCTCTGTGGTCCAGCGAAGGCTCCAGAGAACCGTTTTGGTCGTGGCTGGGCGCGCTGGGTTGGCTGCAGCCGTTTGAGTTGTCTGAAACGGGAGCCGGAGCTTCCGCTAACGGATGGGAGGGACCGTTGGACTGAACCAACTCAGGTTTCACTTGATTTATTGGGGCCAACTGAGCGCCATCCACTGGGAGACTTGAAGTGTGGCTTACGATACCTGGCAATAAAAAGTGAAGAGTGAGTGGTTTGAGACTTTAAATGTTGGATCACCCAAATTACAAAAACTAGTCGTACCCGGCCATGCAAAAGCTTTTGGATTTACTTCACCAATCTCAGATTTCATCCTTCGTCTGAATACAGTGGAGGTGAATGAGATGAGGGCAGAAATCCTGAGTTCGATCAACACTCAAACGATTTTGTCGACTAATTGATTTAATCTCCTCAAACCAAAATGACCGACTACTCAACTCAGAGGGTTGAGGCCTTAGTTTTATTTTATTTGTGCCACTTGACATTTTAGGTCTTGGGTTTGATTAAAAAAAATATTCAAACATGAACTATATATTTGTGTGTGTGCGTTCACATCAGTACTCTGCATCCGCTCACCGTTCTGGCTGCTGCTGTCCTCCCTCTCCGAGTGGCTGGCGCTGCTGCTGGAGGTGGTGGGAGGCGGTGACGCTGCCCTGCTGGACGTGGCGCTCTCCGTTTCGTCCAGTAATCTGTCCATGTAGTCTCTGAGGACACACAGCGACACACACGCCGTTACACACAACCACCACTCTTGGTAAACACGTAACCGTAATAATCTGTTACTGCAGGTGGGTCCTAGTTAAGAGTCTAAACCTGCAGCTGTAGGTTGGTCGCGATAGATAAAAAAGATAAAGCTGGTCGCAATAAACAAGGAGCCAATCAAACAGTTTGCTGGAACTGTGTGTTGTTATTGTGTCACCAGTTAAATCACCACATCCAGATGTTGTTCCATACTGCTAAATTAATTAATTCTCTCAGTCCGACAGACAGACTGGGTTACTCTTTTCTTTACTGTTTGACCCTGGCAGTGAATTCAGGTTTTATTACATCCATAAATTGTAACGAGAGTCAAATATACGATCTTTACTAATTCATCACAATTAGACATGAACTGCACATACATCAGGTCTTAACGTCCCAGTGCTCAGGTTTGCCTTTGAGCATATTAGACTTCTCGTGTAATAGAAAGACATTTTGTGGGCTTACTGGAGTATTTTAAATAAATGTTAAATATATCGATTTTTTTTTTTCTAAAAAGGGAAACTCACCTCATATTTCAAGAATTTAAGATATGTGTGTTTGAACAAAGCTTAAAGTATAATTTGTGTCAGCAAAAAAGGGACCAACTAGCTGCTGAATTGAGAATATTACAACAAACAACCAACATGACCGAACACATCGACATGAAACGACTCCTCCCATAAAGAATTCACACAAAACGGTATATGCATTTAGTTATTTTTAAACTTACGTGACACCGGGGTGAAGGTTGTATTTCCTTTTCCCAAGTCTGGTTTGCTGTGCAAAGAAATCATAACGCTCAGACTTCTTCCACATGTAATAAAAGGCCACACATTCTCCTACAGACCTAGTTCTCACCTGAAAGATTTAATTCAGCAGACATGAAATCACCATTATTACCATCGCCTGAAGAGATTCAGTACAATATCAAATGAGAGACAAATCAAATCATTGTTGAGCCTCTGACAAAGGTCATGTGATCTACACTTAAAAACACTGACAGATCAAAGAAATTTGATTTGTCTCAAAATGCAACAAGGTTGATTCCACAACCCTGAGCATCACACAGCAAACACATGGACATTTAAAATGATCGTCATGATTATCAGAATGCTTAAAATGTCATCAATGTGTACTCATGACATCATAAACGGTTCATTAATGTCTTACCTTGTTGGCCTGTATTAAATGAAAGTCTTTTCCATAAGCTTTTAGTCCTTGTTCAAAATTTCTACATTCCTCTTCAGTCCAGACAGATAGCTCCTCTGTTGCAGACAGAATACGTGTTAATCTTGCTTCTTAAGAAGATCCAAGAACAGAACATCATATTAGAATAAAGTGGAGGTCAATGGGTTCTTGATTGTCTGCTTACCTCTGGCTGCTTTTACATTAAACCTCAGTCTTCTTAAAGCTTCCTCTGTGTCAAAGTCACACTTCACTAGTTCATACAACGCCTAAAGGGGAACAAATGATCAAACATGTTCAGCAAGGACTCCTTTCACTTAAAGCATAATGATGGAGAAATTTGACTTTTTTTCTTGTTGTCAACAAACTCATAAAAAGACCAAAATAAGTGTTTGTGTCCGTCTCTAACACTCAACCTGAAGACCATTCCTTCATACTCAAGATATAAAATCTTCAGAAGTGGTTAGAAAATATATCATTTCATCTTTTAAAAGGCTCAGCTGGGAACTGTAGTCTTTAGCCAACATCACAGGAGTAAAAGGGTCTTTCAGCCACAGAATGATACAACTTTGTGTAGTTTCAGCGTCACTCAATGGAGTGTTTTACAAGGTTTTTAGGACAACAATGGAGGTCTATGGGACAGAGGTGTACGATATATCAGGCTTTGGCTACACAAACAACAGAAACAACTGACTGTTACGGTTTTGGTCTCGTCATGGGATTTGCTCGCAGTAAGAAAACGTATTGGCCAACGTCATCCTCCAGCACAAGCTGCGGATATGTAGCCGTCACCTGTTCATTGTCTTTGATGTGGGATCCCTCTGGGACGGCATCCACTCCCTTCTCCTCTCCTGTCCGCCTTGACGCCTCCGTCAAGAACTCCACCACTTTGCCTTCAGGAAGACACTCGGGGTTCCACAACAACTGGTCGTCGTTTTCATAAACTACAAGAGAAATTCACAGAAAACAGGCAATGCCGCGTCAACTTTCTGTACCAACGTTTTACCAACGTTTTACCAACGTTTTAGACCCAGAAAGGACAGGCAGTGTTACAGCATAGACATGACCTCAAACAGTTACCTTTCTCATTGTCTTTATATTTACACAGGCCAACAGGAGTTTCTGCCTGATACATTGAACCCACCATGATTTCCTGTTGGGAATAAACACATCATTTAGACTGGCTGATTGCTTATGGATTACAAATATGACACCTGCTGACAATTTCAACTGCGATGATAATTTCTGCCTAAATTTTCTGAACGCGTTTGGATTTTTGTGAATATATTCTTCCATTGTAAATATTTCTGATTGTCCCCTTTTGCAGTGGGCTCAGTGTGACATAGTGACAGCCAACTGTGATAGCCGAGTATTTATCAAATTCTAAATGATTAGACGAATGCGAAGAGACACTGCACATGCTGCATAGCCTGACATGAATAGGAGGAAGTCTGTATGCAAATTCATCTGATCGAGGCATTTAGCATTTAAAAGAAACAATGGCTGACAAATGTCTTTGTCAGTGTCGTGTGAATCAAGCTCCAATCTAGCAGTACAAATGTCTGATACTCTGATTAATAAAGTTCTGACGCACCTTTTTCCAGTCTTCCGATGGAACATAGTCCTCATCTTCATCTGACTCCTCCTCTGCATCATTATTACCTGAAATACAGTCATGTCTATTTAACCAGCTAAATATATAAAAACACAATCTGCATTTATGTGCAACAAGAAGAAAGAGGAGAATAACTCTGAGGTAAGATGACTCATACTTTCAAAGTACTTGAGTTTTTGGGGGCGAATGAGTTCCACTGTGCCAAGAGACCTCACTGAGCGCGTGCGGACATCAGAGGTTGCCTGGGCCTCGTCCCCCTGTACCGACGAGATCTTAACACCCTCAACCTGAAGACACACAAACATACACAAATAGCTGTAGACAATGCTGAAACTACACAGTCAACACAACAAAATAAAAATAAAAAATAGTTTTTGGAAACCACATCACTGTCAAGAGACTCGTAAAAACATTGACTTACCTCATTTCTTTTTAACTCGCCGGTGCTTCTGCTGCTTTCATCATTGTCGAGGTCCTCTTCCTCATCCTCGTCCTCATCATCCTCTTCTTCCTCGGGTTCCTCCTCCTCCTCATCATCTTCATCTGCTGGTGAACCACCCCCATAACCATACAGACTCAGCAGCTCATGAATGGGCATCTCCCCCTCCTGTTGAAACAAAAGCGACACGTTTTTTCTAAACTGTAAAATAAACTAAACTAAGTTGATGATCTGATCTGATGACTAAAGGAATCGTTTGGTCTAAATTTAAAATTCTAAACTCAGGACTGAGACCCATAATTATTCCCAAATTTATTAATAAGACCGTCTAAATTCTGAGCTACACAGCAGACAAAACCAAATATGATCTAAGCCTGAAGCTCACCCGTGCAAGATCTTCGATCTCGTTGGCGTTGGTCTCATCTGATGCCTCCAACATTTCTTCTTCCTCCAGCGTGCGTTCATCGTCAAAGTCGTGGACAAGCATGTCTACCGATGGGTCGAAATCATGGTCAACGGAAGCTGCTGAACCTCCTAGAAAAGTGACCCCAAAAATGAAAATATTACTTAATGAAACAAATATTTAAGGACGTTATGAACAAATCCAATAAGGGTGCAGTTAGTATTTTTTGTTTGAAAACATATGTAGACTACAGATATATTATGGTATGGGTGGGGGGGGGGGGCAAGATGGATCAAATCTTCTATTCCAGTATATGTAATTGTATATCTGTAATATTAATATATTTAAAAACAATCTGGATTGATAAATCGCACTACAGGTAAGAGGAAAAATATATAGTTTGGATTTTGGGGGGGGGGGG